AAGAAGCTGGAGTTATAATGCCTGTGTGCAAATTGAAGTTTGGCACTTTTTACTTATGAGGGATTCAGGAAGTTAGAAACTTATTTGACTTTCTGTTTCCTCATTTGTAAAGTTATGGGGGGTATTGATAGCAACTGTCTTATAGAATGGATTCCTGTAAAGCATGTAGCAAAGAGCTTGGCACATAGTAAATGCTCCATGGATATTAACAGCCTTTCTGTAGCCCAGATCCCAACCACTAGCAGAGAGAATTTATCAATCTATCTGTCTCTATTTAATTTAAATTATACATGGTCCTGAAGTTTGAACTCAGGGTCTGTGCTTTCTAGGCAGGTGCTCTGATCACTTGAGCTACATATTCCTCGTCCTTTTTTCCTTATTTTTCAGATATAGTAATGTGTTTTTGCCAAGGCTGGCCTTAAATGGTTATTCTTCTTTCTCCACCTTTCCAAACATAGTTGGGATTGCAGGTATACACGCACCATCAAGTTCAGCTCAAGAGACCCCTTTCGCAAATGAAAGTCTGATTAGAACAAAGGTTAGAGAAAAATCCCAGTATTTCTAAGGGTAGTGGTCACAGGTGTTACATCACCTAACCTTTCCTGTAACAAAATTCTGTTTATACATTTACTTCTGCACCATGGCACTCATCTTTTCCTTTAATGGCTCAGAATAGGTCAAAAGTGTATTTTTATGGCATTCAATTTCTTATAGTAATACAGCAAAACTTTAGGTTCCTAGTGTTTAATTGAGAAAGGAGGTTGAAATTTGATTATAAAACCTATCATTGTATTTGTGACACTGTGTGTATTACCATTGCGTAGTGGTAGAGATTATGTTCTCATCCCTGCTTCCACTTATTAGTTTACCTTTGTCTATATTCCAGTTGTGTTTGAATTGATGCAGTTGTGTGTAAGTATGTGCATGAGGGAGCGAGAGAGAGAGAGAGAGAGAGAGAGGAAGAGGAAGAGGAGATAGAGAAAGAAAAGGAGAGTGATGGCACAAGATAATATGCCTAGGATATATGTTTTCCTGTATTGCAAGAATTTTGGAGTAATTTATCTTCTTAAGCATCTTTGAAATTTATTAAATAAGATTATTATAGGTTCGACTCTTGAAGGTTTTGCTTGGTCTTGTCATTTAACTAAAATAACTAAAAATTGTGCAGGTGACACAAATTTCTCTTGAGTATTTTCCTACCTAATTATATGTGCATCTATATCAAGATAGAGATATTATTATCTGCCTAGCACACAAATGTGCCTTGCAATACATAGATTCCCCCTTCTATCATGTTTCAAAAATGATGTGAATATTGTGACCCATGTCCTAACTGCACATAATGCAATGTTTCCTATTTTCAATTAGTTAGATACTATTTTATGTGGAAAGAGTCACAGCTAGACATATCACTAATAATGCCACCACCTAATAAAAGTGCATTATATCATATAATTTTGGGAGAAATTCCAGTGGAAAAGGTTCTGTTAGTCTTGATAGTTTGAAATGTTATTTCTTTACTTACCCAAAGCATAAGGTCTTTTTTATGTTTGAAAGGCAAAACTTGAAACACCAATTATTAACTATAGTTAATAATCGAAATTGGTAGTATCAGAGTATAACCACCACTTTAAAGTATATAATGTGAAGTATAACAAACTGAGTATGGATTTCAATGTCAAACTGCTATGATCATACAGATGCTCTGTAGTGATGTGATCATGTACTTTGTTCAGACTGAGGATATGACCAGGAACCAAAGGATGTATTTGTAGAAAGGTCTGTGTGGAAATTCTTAAGGAAAAAGATGATAGAATGATGAACCAGGCGTATAGAATTATGAAGGGAAAACACCCTAGTCTCCACATCAGACTTGTATACATTACATCCTTTAGTTTGGAACAGAAAATAAAAAGGAGAAATAGATAAATGGCTTCTAGAGTCTTAACATGCATCGTGAAACAGCAGAGTTAAGGTATTTCAGAATGAGAAATACAGGTGCCCACAGATCTGGCTTTTGCTTATCTTGCGCACTGCACACTGAATAGTTGCTAAGGAAACGACCTGCTGAAGTTTGTGGAGAGCCTGACGGATGAGCTCAGATGTTGGCCCTTTGTGTTTCAGTATGGCTGCACTGCTCTACATTATGCCTGCAAAATGAAAAACCAGGCTCTCATCCCTCTGCTTCTGCAAGCCCATGCGGACCCCATGATAAAAAATAAGGTAAGGATCTGAGAACCATGGTCAGAAGTCATCCTAGATGCCTCATCTCATGTAAGCCTTATGTTGAAACATGTTCATTGCCTTCGTTGTCTCACATGAGAATAACAGAAAAGCTGATGGTTCTTTTTAAGGGACAAAGTTACCCTGTCATTCTTAGAACTAAATGACATTTAAAGCTTTAACTATGTCTACCAGTCAATTACTGTTTAATAAACCTTTTCCATTGGCATTTGACTGTATTAGAAGTAAATAACTGTGATTAATTTTTTCTCCCCAGGAGGGTGAGAGCTCACTGGATATTGTGAAGAAACTAAAATTTTCCCAGATTGAATTAATGCTAAGAAAAGCATCATAATCCTGTGACCTCACAGATGGAGACAGAGACTCAGCTAAAAGACTGGATTTTATCTGTGTTATGGATTGCTGGTCTATGGATCTCACTTTTTAGGGAGAATGATGGCTACCATGGTTAATGGTTTTGAAGAGCTTGATGTTTACAATTTTATTCAGTGGAGTTCACCATGATCACAATCCTTCTAGAGGAAGCATGAAGCTGTTGAAGTATCCACTTCTGTCAAAATCTGTTTCCAACTCAATCTCCCCAAGAAAAGAAAGTTGAAGTTACCAGATAGTGTTCTCTTACCCCTCATCATAAGGACACTGTTTGTGTCCTAAGAGCGACTGCTCCTCCCAGATGCCGTAAGTACTAAGGAACAATCAAAATATGTACCGTTGTATTGAGTGGTGCGTGCACATGCAAGGATTTAGAGATTCCAATGTAAATATTTCTTTGATGAAACAATGTAATAAAAGCATGCATCAGTTGTCAGGGATGAACCTGTCTACACCTGAGAACTTGGCAAATACTACAAAGCAGAGTATTTTCTTCTGTGTGCTTATTTTCTGTGAGCGGGTTTATCTGCAGTCTACAAATTATTCTGGTACCAGTTAACACGTATAAGCCACCTTGGTTTGAACAAATGTAACTATCAAACCGTCTGTTCAAAAACATCCTTCTGGGTTGGAGGTGTAGCTCAATAGAGAGTGGGTGTGGCATTTGACCTCTAGTACAGAAAATAAATAATAAAAATGAATAAATTTATGATCTTGCAATTATAAAGCAAATACTAGCTTTACTTACTTATGTCATATTTTTGTAGGTATTGAAGATTGAACCTAAGGCTTCACACATGCTAAGCATTTTCCCTACCACTGTGGTGCACCTCCAAACTCAATTGTTTATCTTTGCACTCGTAAAATTTAAAACTGTGATTGTAACTTATTTGGATAAAGGAATTGTTCACAAAATTGAAGAAATATAATGAGAAGGTATCTGGATTATATTTTAAGTGAGAGATTACAAGTGCTAAAATACGTTTGTTACGTCCTTTGTGAAATGAGACAGTAGAAATAAACATACCTTATGTATCTGATTGCATTTTGAAAATCAAGACTGTGTCAGGCAGAGCTGTAGATCTAGACTAAGTAGATGTATAAAACAGATGTAGTCTAAGAATGAATGATTTATTCTTACATGGGACAAGAACTAATAAAATACAAATACAAATATTTATGGGCCTATATGCAAAGACCCTATGGCAAGCCGTAGTGTATATATATTCTGTAGGTTTTAAATGTCTCTAAAGAAATAATTTAAGGTACTTTAGCATTGGACTCAGATACATGGTGCCTGTAGGAGACAAAAATAAATAACTTTGCACACTAGTATATCTGCAACAATGCCTTCAACATGCAGAGCCTATTTTTTATTTGTTTTCAGAATTGATGTTGCAAAAAACTATTTATATAATTTACAGTCGTCATCTTTAACAATGTTTTAAGAAATAAATCTAGAGTTGTGAATGTTGAATAATCATCTAACAATAACTTTCTTGAGATTGAAGAACAAAATACATGATAATATGATGCTCATGACATCATAATATTTCCTTTATAGTTTTTAATTTTCAGAGGTAGAAAATTGGGCCAATGGGTCTCTAAGCAATATGCTGTAAACTCTCCAACAAGGTTATCCTAGGATCTCGGCCCTGACATGCACATGCAATGCTATCTGCAATCCACAATGTGCTTACTGCAAAGTTAACAAATGTCCCACAAATTACCTTTCTTGGGATCTAAATATGATACGTGACCACATTCTGAGGATGTTTAACACATATTTCATTCCTACTATACATTGATTTCTTTGCTTTGTCCTTAAATATTCTTAGGATGTTTAACACATGTTTCACACATGTTGTATACTGATTTCTTTGGTTTGCCCTAAAAGCCCCTTGGCTTCCTGAGGTAGGATCCTGTCTCTGTGGAAACAAAGTTATTACTGATCGCATTTTGCCCAAGACTACCCAGAGATTTATGAACTAAGTATCTGTCATAATTTTCATCTTCCTTTACTACTCCAAAATATGATTTACAGAAAAAAAAATCTATCCAGAGGAAATTCACCTGTCTGATGTAGCAAAAATCTCCGTACTTTCTGGTTTTCAAGTAAAAGCTGCCCTTCAAGATGATAGAAGATACAATAACATAGGGAACCTTCAATTCACCAAGCAAGTTTTACTAGCTGAAAAGAAACATATAAGTTATAGTGCCAAATGTAGACATCTGAAGGGCTGTATAGTGTATTATACTGTTGTCTTCCCTGCCACTAACATGGCAGGTTTCCACTTCTGAAAATCCCTCCTCAAATCTTCCATGCCTGGCTTTAGTCTCATGTTCCAGGAGGCTGTTCTTAGGGCTTGTCAATCGCAGGCACTTTACAGTGTAATCTTGCAGGTTCCCTGGGAAAGGTTGGCCTCCTCTTTCATCAGATGTATGATTTCACTGTACACTTGCTGAGGAGCATCCAACCCCCAGATGAAATCCACGTGAGCCCATTCAGGAATGTTCTTATGGTAGATGAGGTTAGTCACTTCAGAGAGCAGTGTTTTTACATCTTCTGGATTTGAAAGCCAGTCCTGCCCTCCCGACCACATGGCCGTTGGAACTGTCATGTCTTGAACGTTGTACTTTATAGGAGTAGGCTAGAGCAAAAGAAGAATTTTAACTCCAGATAATAGTTTGACTTCCATACTATAATGAGCTTTCGAATAAACATGACAGGCATGCCATTAGTGGTGGTGGAAGGTTCATGGTGTGAGACTCATACAGACTTGTTTAAGAGCTCCTATTCCAGTCTCTAAGTCAATTATTTAATCAGATTAGACCTCAATTTCTTTATCTGTGAAGTGAGGATATAAGTAGTAATTTACTGGGTCACATAAAATGACTTAAATTGCCTGTTTCTGTATGTGTGTGCACTGGTGGGGATTAAGCTCATAGCCTATGCTTTACCACTGAGCTACATTTCCATTACCTAAATTGTCTTTAAAAAGTAAAATAGTTGATGCTGAGGATGTGGCTCAATAGTACAGGGCTTGCCTAGCATGCACAATGTGCTAGGTTCAACCCAGCACTGAAAAAAATATTAATAAAGGAAAGATCCCTGTTAGTGTTGAAGGAATCAAAAACATAGAGAAACTCCACAAAATGGCCTTTAGCTCTAAGTTAATTTGAACCAAAGTAAGGTAAAAGTAAATGCCTGTTGTAAACACTCAAATCACATGTTTATTAAAATTCACACCAAATTCAAAAAGAATTCTAAAGGATTATCCACTTCCCACTTCCATTTTCCTTGTTTTAAAAGTTAAAGTGTTCTTGGCAAATCAAAGTAATCTACCCACTATCACACAAGATTTTAGTTGAGAACTATCACACAAGATTTTAGTTGAGAAGCAAGAACACAGATCAGCACTTATCATTTCTTGCTTTTTGTGGTTTGGGGTTTTTGTTTTTGACTTAGTCTACCATCACCATTCCTGTTTTTCTTTTGATTCTACAAGGATGTTTCTTCCATCCACAATAGGCTATACTTATCCCTGGATTAAGCCTACCCCATCTGACTCTAAGAGGCCCAGGGACCTTTTCATTAGGCAGCCTGCAGGCCTCCTGCTCCAGTAGAATTACAGAGGCCGCTGAGCTGTCAACTTTCATGTTTCAAATGGAATCAAAGCCTTACATTTTCTGCTTGACTTGTAGTAACTTATTTCAATTCCTAGAATAGCTGGTTAGCATGACTTCCCCCTTACACATCCCAAAGCATACATTTTCAGCAGATGGTATTTGATTCTCTTACCTGATTGCATTTCTCCAGATTTTTTGTCTCACTCCCCCAGTCATATGCACGGAGTTCCCCAGAATTCACTGCCTAAGAGGAGAGGGAAGCTTGGCTAGGTTTTCAAAGGTGGTGGAAATGGGCTACCATTGTGCAATGGTAGCTTTTCCCTTGCACAAGCAAACAAATTTAGGAAATTACAAATGCAAGAATCAGGCTTTTTCAGTCGAAAGACAGTGCATAGAAATGTTGGTCAGCACCTAATCAGCACCTCCAGGAAGTACATCTCCTCCGTAATGAAGGTACACTGGTATTTGGCACAATTCCTGAAGCTTCAATTGGAAAATTGTACAATACAGTTACTCTGAAAGATAATGACTACATCTCATCCAAATCGAAGTTTTCTATACATACACAAGCTTTTCCACCTGAGGTTGCAGCACAAAAGACTATCTCTGGTCAGTTAGCTGGAAGAGCCAAAAAGGACAATTTAAAAAAAAATTCTCTGAAGCATCTCTTTGAGGTGACTAGAGACAGAATGAACTTACCTGACTATCCGACTATCTTACTGTTGAACTCCTCTTAAGATTTTCTTAAGCCATTCCTGTGCTCCCATCCTCTAAAATATTTCCGTGATGTTTTGCATCATTGAAACATCACTGACTGGTATGCTTTTATTTTGAAATAAATATAAACTTCTGGCTAGTCCAGTCAAAATGTGAAGGGACCTTTAACAAATATGACAAGTTCAGCATTCTCACCTGGCTCCAGTGGAGAATATTTTGCACAGATGTCCCAGCAGGAGTATGGGCCACATAGACATTTGATCGACTCTGTAATACAAAAAGGAATTCTTTTTGAGTCATGGAAAAACCTCACAAGATGTGCATCTTGTCAATACCAAATCTCCAGGCTATCAAACTGAGAAATAGGACTATCATCAAATTATCAGCAATTTTCTGTGAACCAGTATTGTATACGTGTATGCAAATACAATAACACTAACTGTAGTTCTGAGAACCTGAATTTTTTCATTTGAGAATTACTTCTCATTAGAGATCTAACTTCTCACAAAATACCTGTAGTACTGCAAATAAAAACCCCACAAGTGAACAAAGTGTTTTATTTTTTAAAGCCCTTTCTATAGTGATATTTAGGATATAAGCTCTGGAATAGTTTTGAGCGCTATAGATTAATTGTAGGTGAATTTGGACAATTTATTTACCTCCCTAAGTCTTATACAAATCTATAAGGTAGGGATATTAATATTTGTCTTATAGGTTTATTATGAGGCATTCTTTAACCTGACATTTAATAAATCCCTGCTAAATGGTAATTATCATTTTAGTAATTGATGGGATCACTGATGGTGATGAACAGCCCTTCTTTTTCAAATGTCATTAGAGATGGCGTGTCTAGGCTGCAGAGAGATGCCCTTTCATTACTAGTGTGCTTTGAGCTAATGGATTGGTAAGTTTGAAGGAATCAAGACCCCTTCTCCTCCTACTTTGTGACAGGTCAATGGGCACCCCATCTTTGCACATCCCTGTAAGATCAACTGCAGCTTGTTGATGCTGGCACCATGGAATGCTGGTTCACCTCCCAAGTCCAGTTTCCTTCTCTCTGGGTATTATCTCAATAGCAGTCAAGTACAGTCCATCTCAGAGAGTGTGCTCTGCTCCAGGGAAACTCCCCATGACACTTACCAAGGGGTAGTAGCTATGCCTAAACTGAACAGAAACTTCTAGAATTTTCACCAAAGAACTTAAACTATAAACCAAAAGACCCATGTGAAGGGGAGAGATAGATGGTGTATAGTAGTTCCCCTGGTTGACTACTAGGTTTGAATCACTCTTCCTACCTGTTATCTTACCACAGGCTTTCAGTCTTCTTCATCTACAATCTGTGATGCTCATATCATCTACAATCTGTGATGCTTCCATCCTGCTTAATTATTTCTAGCATTTCTCCACAAGTTGAAAACTGAAATTATAGGACAGGCCTCAGTGCCTTTGGTGTTGATCATTTCTCTGGTGTCATCTCACCTTGAGGAGTGAGGTTATAACTCCTGAATTTTCTAGGGAAGTAGAATTTACGAGGCTCCCACTCACCATGTTCATATTGTTTGTGTTAAATCCTCCCAGCAGTAATATGATATTGCCACAAATTTGATCAAGAATCATCTGGCCACAAAGGTATATAACCAACTGTCTAAAAAATCTTGTCTGGTAAAGAAATTCTTTTCTGCCAAATAATCCCTGTGAAAATATGAAAGGAAATTGTGGTCATGACAATATAGTAAAAGAAAAAAAAGATTGAAACTTGAAAGCATATATGCTAGGAAGTTAGGCTGGAAGCCTTTTGTATACACATAGAAATTATCTAAAGGGTCACATACCTTAATCATTATATCTGGCAGCAGCAAAAATTTGGTCCCAGGGCTTTTTGCATATTTAACTGTGGCTATGGGGGCTAAAGCAAAATACATTTTGATTTTATGAGCCAGCTCTGGCATTGTGGAAAATGCAATAAAGCCTGTAAGATAAAAAAATTATATATTTTATTTCTATCAAAATCTTCTTTTTCTCCTATTTGAGACAATATTTTCCTGCCTGGCCTCAAATTTGGAATTCTTTTGCCTCAGCTTCAAAGGGTGGTAATTACATGCATGTGTCATGTCTGGTGCTATCAAAGTACTTTAATAAATATGTGTGATTATATCATAATTCTTGTGTGAAACTAACCTCCAGGAAGATGCAGTAGCTAAAAAGTTTCAGGATCCCTATGACATTTATGGCATATTTGCTTTCATTAATTTGTTCTATCTAAATTAAATTATTGAATTTACTGAATAAAATGATATGAGTTTGAGAATATAATCTATCTATCTGTCTATCTATCTATCTATCTATCTATCTATCTATCTATCTATCTATCTATCTATCTGTCTGTCTGTCTGTCTGTCTGTCTGTCTGTCTGTCTGTCTGTCTGTCTATCCTATCTAGATTCATTCTTAGTCTAGTTTCAGAATCTCATATACACTAAATAAAATAAAAAATCCTATTAATAGAGAATTAGAGAAGTCACATTGTTTGAAAACAAGCATGATCTATAACAATTGGTGTGGGGTAGGAGGACTTTTTATGTTGTTGTTTGTTTGTTTATTTTACTTTGTTTTGTTTTTGGTCGTGGGCTTGAATTCTGGGCCTGGGTGCTGTCCCTCAGCTCTTCAGCTCAAGGCTAGAGCTCTATCACTTGAGCCACTTATTGGAGATAAGAGTCTCAAAGACTTTTCCTGCCCGGACTGGCTTTGAACTGTGATCCTCAGATCTCAACCTCCTCAGTAGCTAGGATGACGGGTGTGAGCCACCAGCGTCCAGCTGCTGATGTGTTTGGTTTTTGTTAATCTCTCAACATTTCTGGAACACAAATTGTAATGGTTTCATAGATACCTTTTCTAGAAGATTGAATTCCATTCCTATTTATACTAAGAACTTGGTATAAAATTCTAGTGAAACCATCAGTGACTCAGAGGGACAGATTTCCCCCAAATACCATAGTTTGGGGAAGATATCTGTAATTTCTTCTATGGGAAGAAAACAATTATTTCATAAATAGTTCAAAATTAAACCAAACAAAAAAATTCAAAACCAACACCTAATTCCAGATTTCAACATTAATGGGAAAAGAGAGACTAATATTATAGTATGATGATAATGCGTTGTATTTATTGTCTACCTAACTAGGTAGCAGATGCTGAATTCAGGTCTTCATTCACAGCACACATTTATTGAGGGCACACAGTACCACAAATATCTTTTACTGACTTCAAAGAGCTTATATACAATAGCATATTGAATACTTTAAAACAGTCCTAAAACCTTTAAGATGAAGGTATTATGCCCATTTTGTAGATGAGAAACCTTAGATTAGGGTAGTTGAAGAACTTGTTCAATGTTATCTATTAAAAGTGGCAGGAGCAGTGCATGCATCCAGAGCTGTCTGAACCCAAAGCCCTGGCCCTTTCTATGCTCTCACAAGCCTGCTTCAGTTCAGTCCTTATTTCCCTCAGCTCTTATAGGCACAGAAGAGGAGAAGGCCAGATCCAAGTGGAATGTTGGCAGATAAAAGTCCCAGGATGGCTTGTACCACAGTTTCACATGTCTCCTGAGTATACAAACCAGCTTTCCTTCAAACCTACCCATGGTGGTGCCCTGTGAGTAGCCGACATAATAGATCTTTTCCTGGCCCGTTTTCTGCAAAATAAAGTTTATCACTGCAGGAAGGTCAAACCTAGCCATCTCATCATAACTACAAGGGGGAAAAGACAAAGTTATATGAACAATTATAATCAGATACAAACAGAAAGTCCCCCTCCCCAGGATACACAGGGTATATAAACCAGCTTGTATGTGGTCAACCCTGCTAGCTTATATTACTGTGATTCTCATGGCACTGTCTTATTTCAAATTCTGCAATGTTTGAGTATCTCTGGGCTCACAAGCTGTCAATGGACTACTGTGCTTTGCAGATGTTCAATAAAATATTGAACATGGTGAATATTTGTTTTGCACATCATGTCTCTTACCCTGTGAAAAAAAAAGCTCAGAACCATTCAAATTCCTTTTATTGGAAAAATAATTGACAAAATGCATAAAGAACAGGTTGAGTTCGATGCTGGCATCTCATGTTTGAAATCCTAGCTTCTTGGGAGACGAGTTTTGTTGGGATCATGGTTCTAGGGCAGACTGAACAGTAAAGTGTGAGAGGCATCCTTCCTAATGAAGAGCTAAAGGTGGTGGCATGTGTCTCTTTGCAAGCTACTAGAAAGCCTAGATGGGAAGAAAGACCCTATCTAAAAATAATGAGCAAAAAGATCAGGGCTGGAACTATGGCTGAGTAGGAAGAGTCCCCATAAACACCTGCAAGTTCCTGAGTTCAAAACACCAGTACCACCCAAATTAGTAATAAATAAAGAGCAGGATGAATATTAATAAGACATGTATATAAAACATTAAATAAAACACGTAAATGAAAACATTGAAACCCTTTTGTAAGGCCACGATTCACGTCATTCAAACTAATGATTCCCAGTTGTTGTTTTTTTTTTAATAATTCTTCTTCTTTTTATCTTTTGAGGCTTCCAAAATTCATCTCCTCCTGGAGGGCATTAGCCCTCACTATCACACATGGAAGAATTCATTACATGAAAGTCACCTACAAGAAAATGAATCTACACTTTTCTCTTTCCAATGTCAATCACCTTATATAAGCCACCATTCCGACTCCAGTAACCAGACCTAACTATCGATATGGGGAATTCTAGCTTGTCAAAAAATGGAGCTATCTTTTTTGCATATTAGTAATACAATCAAAATGAAGTGTTCAAATAGTAGAAACAATAATTTAATTACTTTCATTTATTGTTTTTGGTCGTATTAGAGATTGAAATCAAGGCTTTGCACTTGTAAAGCAATAGCTCTATCACTTGATAGTAGATTTAATTATTTTTCAGGTAGAGGCTGATGCTTTTTGGGCTAACCTTAGACCATGATACTTACGATTCCGGTATAACTAGGATTACAGAAACAAGACTCCATGCTTGGCTTCTCTAACATTTCCCCTAGGTTGGCTTCCTATCTCTGCCTCCTAAGCAGCTGGAATAATTATGATTTCAACCACCACAGCCAGCTGAAATGATCCTTTTTTATCCACCTCTCCCAATAACATCTATGTCCACTGCCATCTTCAAGCTTTTCATATACCTGAAAGCCCAAAACTCATCTTGATCTATGGAGAGGGTCTTGTGTTTCCGAGACCACGTGTTTCCTCTGCTGTTTCCCATCCACACGTCATAACCAGCATCAGCCAGAATGAAGCCCAAACTGTTGTTGGGGAGATTGGAAATCCAGTTGGTAGCATCTCCAAGCAGTCCATGCTGCAGCAATACCACCGGCCTGGACCCTGCAGTCAAGACAGAGTATCAATTTTGTAATGTCTTTCTTGTGATTCCCTAATGTGTTAAAGCTTTTCAGTCAGAAAAGTCTATGTTCAAATCTCCATTCAGCTGCTTGGTCACTTGATTGTCTTGGTTTTACTTCCTTATCATCACATAAATGAAATTGTTCTTATAATTATGTAAGATGAAGTACAAAAAAAGTGATAGCACAATGCCTGGAAAAGAAAAGGAATCAATAAAATTCAGCTTACATTGTTTTGTACGATTATGTGACTTGTTTGAGTGGTCTAGAAAATATTAGAAGTGTCCCAGTAAAGAGCACAGTATAATGATGGAGGGCAGAATAAGCAAACACACACACACACACACACACACACACACACACAAAACATTATGTGGTGATCTAATCTTAAGGTTATTTCATGTCAAAGGGATCCCAAAGTCAATTTGAAAGAGCTTCTTTCGATATGGGAAAAATTTGAACATCAAAATAAAATTACAGTAATGAATCCTTTCCCATTGATAGATTCAGATAGCAATGAATTGTATCCCATGAGTAAATTCAGAATAGCCTACTTGAAGAGGCAAATGTAGCTGGAGAAATAAAATCAGCCACTAGAGGGGAGAATTGTGCACCAACTGAAGTCAAAGACTTGTCTTGATTCCCCAAACTGCTTAGCAGTGAATGGTCAGGTTGTGAGAATAAACTAGCCCATACATAAGAAAACAAACAAATAATCAAGCTAGATCTGTGAATGGAAGTTTCAGATGGATTCCACAAAGTAATTTCTGTAGCCACTAGACTGCTTTCAAGAGCCATGTTTCATCCAATTACCCCATAGAATTTGTGAGATTTAGTGAAAGTCTTTCAGTGTTCCCAAACCACTTATTTATTCAATGCTTATTTAATCACTGTAGTGTTTCTTTATCTATTAACAACTAGAAGGTGCTCAGCACTATGTTAGCTACTGCATAGAACCTTGAACAAAAAGTAGACAAAGTGTTATTGTAATAAAAACAAGCAAATCTTTCATACCACGGTATTATGTACTATATAAAAAATTAATCAGGATAAAGAGGGAGTTGCCAATAAATGGCCAAGAAGTTGTTAATTGGAGTAGAGAGTTTAAAAGAAGAAGGATAAATGCAAGTTCAAAATCACTGAGGTAGGAACATGCTAGACATATTTAAGAAACATATGGGGGCTGGGAAGGTGGCTCAGTGGTAGAGTGCTTGCCTTACATACATGAGGTCCTGGGTTCGATTCCTCAGCACCACATAAGCAGAAAAAGCCAGAAGTGGCATGTGGCTCACGCTGTAGAGCTCTAGCCTTGAGCTGAAGAGCTGAGGGACATAGCCCAGGCCCAGAGTTAAGACCCCATGACTGATCAAAATAAAAAAGACACATATTGGCAGCTAGTGTTGCACAGAACATGTTGACATTGGTGTACTTAGAATAAAATTAAATCCTGGGGCTTCAAATAGAAACACAAGATAGAGACAAGTAGGTCATGAAGATGAATTTTTAAGCCAGTATTAATATAAAATCTCACATATAAAATTAAATTGCACAAGGTATATAAATGTATCAAAAATGAACATTTCAGCCAGGCACCGGTGACTCACGCCTATAATCCTAAATGCTCAGGAGGCTGAGATCTGAGGATTGAGGTTCAAAGCCAGCTCAGGCAGGAAAGTCCGTGAGACTCTTATCTCCAGTAAACCACTCAGAAAACTGGAAGTGGTGCTGTGGCTCAAGTGGTAGAGCACTAGCCTTGAGCCTAAGACCTGAGGGACAGCAGCCCAGCCCAGTGTTCAAGCCCCACGACAGACAGGAAAAAAAAATCACACATAGAACCTGCTTCATAAAAAGTCCCTAGTGAAAAGTGAGAGAATGTATTAAATATTTAATGTATTCTTTGAATGGTACCAAAGAACACTGGTGTCATATTCGACTTTACATTCTTCACGGTTCAAGGCATTATCAGAGAATGTTCTAGAATGTCTACTAAAATGGGTTTGAAGAATGAGTTAAATGAGGAATGAAGTCGACAAACACTTTTTCTTGAAAGCTTTTTGTTGTTGTTGATTTGTGTTGAGCCACAAACAGCACACTGGGCCCTGACACAGAGTCTTCCACAACCTTAGCACACATTCTACCACTGAGCTCTACTTTTCTGGGCCCACAGGAGTTTTTTGTGAAAAGAATGTTTAAAATGATTGATGGACATGGGTTGTGTAGGGTAATGATGATGAAGATGATGAGGAGTTGACCCAATCCTTTGACTTGACAATGTATCTTAGTCTGTATTAAGAATCCAGGCAATACTCTAGACACTGAACTCACAAGAAAGTCAGGACTGAAGGGAAGAGTGGCACGCTAGGGTGATAGGAGTGAAATTTACCATTCTTGTTAGGTTGCATTAGGCCTTGAGGAATTCTGTTCACAGAAAGTATATACCCATCTTCAGTCGCAACTTCATACTCCTCACAGGGATAGCCTTGATGTCGGACGATCTCACTCTATGGAAAAAGCACAATTAAGTTTGGGTTCAGCAATATATGGCTGTATTGCTTGGCCTTGTAAATTGGAAACAAGAAAGTCCTCTATTTTTAATCAGTTGTAGGGGCTTGAACTCTGGGCCTGGGTGCTATCTCCAAGCTCTTCAGCTCAAAAAGAGCACTCTACCACTTAAACCACAGCACCACTTCTGGTTTTCTGGTGGTTAATTGGAGATAAAGGTTTCACTGACTTTCCTGCCCTGGCTGGCTTTGATCTGTGATCCTCAGATCTCAGCCTCCTGAGTAGCTAGGATGACAGGTGTGAGCCACCAGCACCCAGCATTCTCTAACTATTTTACCTTACAAAAACCAGCCAACCTTCTCCAGTCCTTACTTTCTTTAATCTTTAGTTATCTATTTATTTTAACTTCTGGTACTGACAGTGGAACTCAGCCTTTCACTATGTGTAATATGAAGTCTGAATCTGTGTGATGATTTTCAAAAGCATCAGCATCCCTTGGGCATCTATTCAAAATGCAGATAATCACTTTCTAGTTAGGAATTCCAAGGCCAGGGCCCAACGTGCTGTTTGTGGCTCAACCAGCTCTGAAGGAAATTCTGAAACATGCTATTGTTTGAGTGCCACAGAACCAAAATACAGAAGCTTGGATGTACATCAGAGTCATCCAGGATAGCTAAGTAGATTCTTGGGCCCATTGCTAGTTAGGGATCAGGGAGTTCTGATGTAGTCAACAGGACACACTTGTTCTAAGACAATTTAGAAGAATCCCTGGGTCACACCTTCCCTAAGGTTCTTTTTAGTTCCAGAACCACAGAGTCAATAATAGTGGTTTTTTTTGTTGTTGTTGTTTTAAATGACACCTTAAAGATCCCTTGGAGAAGTTGAGGAGAACTGTAAGAATGATTATACAGTACATGGATATTCATAATTGTTTTGCATGTAATTTAAAGAGTTTCAGATTCCTTGCTGACTATGCTTGGGCCATTGATTAAACATCTTTATTCCATATACTGGTTGCTTGCAGAAACTCTTAGGACAACATGAAGCTGTAGAGATCTCCTCAGCATCCTTGCTTGCCCCCCAGTTTGCAGAGAAGGAGGCAAGCGGTTATTTTTAAGTGAGAAAGAGAAAAGAAAGACATCAAATGCCTCATATGAGGCAATGGCTCATAACTTTAAGAAGATTCTTGCAGTCCCACTGCTTGAGATTTAATCCCATCTCTAATACTAATACAAGAATTGGCTGTCTGGTCTAGGGAGCATTGGTTAAAGGTTCTCTATTCTTGTTTCTTTATCTGTTAGTTCATACTCCAGGGGATTTTACAAGGAATGTAAAAAGAGATTATAGACATGTAATACCACTACAAGGGATGGTATATGTAGTATATGTAGTAGTAGTTACTCAATGGGCATTTTTTCTCTCTTTCTCTCTCTCTCTTCCTCTCTCTGTGTGTGTGTGTGTGTGTGTGTGTGTGACTATTTCACTTAAAAATTTCAGCATGCCTGAGACTTAATTAGAGGGCTATTTAAAATCCATTGTTGGACTTTACTCTCAAAATTTCTGAAATGGACCATAGGTCTTGGGTGAACCCTTTGAAAAACCACTGTTATTTGTTACTTGGGAGAGAAGATAAATACTTAAAGCATAAGAATAGAAGACATCAAGTGTAGTTGGCTAGATTAAATGTAATGTGTCAAATGGGAGTTGAACAGATGTGTATGAAGAAAGGAATAGAGTAATTCTGAGTAAGGAGGACACAATGAGCAGGACTTATCAAAGCCTTATGGAAGAGGGAGAATTCGCCCTGGGTCTTAAGGATTAAATAGGAGTTACCTAAGAAAAGCAGAGATTACCTAAGAAAAGCAGAGATTAAGGACATGAAAATCTCAAAAACAAAAAAAGAGAGCAAGAACTCAGTGACATGGTGTTTACATGTTATACAGACAATATATGGCAGGAGACTTCATAATATTAGGACATAAATCTGTGAACATGAAATTAGAGGCACAACATATTCTAAAAGACAAGTTCCTGATCATAATCTTGCAATTTTTGTTTTGTTTTCTTTTGTTTGGGTCAGTTGTGGGGCTTCAACTTAGGGCCTGGGTACTGTCCCTGAGCTCTTTTGCTCAAGGCTAGCACTCTACCACTTCAAGCCACAGCGTTACTTCCAGTTTATGAGTCGTTAATTGACGATAAGAGTTTCAGGGGGACTTTTCTGCTTGGGCTGGCTTCTAACTGTAATCATCAGACCTCAGCCTCCTAAGTAGTTAACTATTATTACAAAAGAAAGTTTAACAATAGACATTCTCACTATGAATATTTTACTCCTGATTCTATTTAGTATTTAATTTTTGGTCCAATTGTTTATTCCCAAAATTTTAACCTAAGGGGAAAAAAATCAGAGATAGGTATTAAAAATAATTGTGAGTATGTTTTTTCCAATGTTATGTGTAACAGTAAAAAATAAACTATACAGGGAGACAAGTGAAATAAATATTGTGTCCGCCAAGAGGATAGTGATCAGATCTTCCCAAAGAGGCATGGCCTCAGTCCTTCCTGCCACAGGTAATGATTGATATGTTGGGGTATAAAAGGCTGGTATCTCAGTTCAACTTGGGACATCTCTGAAAGGTCTTTCTAGTTCTGGAACTCTCCACAAGGTTTGTGGAGGATGTTTTGGAGTTTGTTTGGCAAGTGTCTGCTCTTAACTATACTTGCTTCTGCTCTTCCTTTCTACAGGTGTTGATCTCACCTCTCTCTCTCTCTCTCTCTCTGTCTCTCTCTCTCTCATTTTTTGAAATGGGACAGAGAGGCATTATATTGCTTAAGCTGGTCTCAAACTTGTGAGCTCAAGTGATTCTCTTGCCTCAGTCTTCCTGGTATTTGGAATGTAGGTAAGTGCCATCATCCATCAGAGCTCATTTGAATAGACCTCCTGCATTTGAATTCTCCCTTAGTATTTGCTCCTCAGAGTACCAAACAGAACAATGCGTATCCTATGAAATGGGATGTAATATGGAAGCCCAAATGATGTTCTTAAAAGGTATTTGAAATGGTGGGAAAGTCTTCCTAATATTTGTTAGTAGAAAAAAAATGCTGGGAAATAGTAACTATTCCTTATTTTAGAAAGAGCAAAGTTCATAGATTTAGAAGAAAAGGAGGGACATACGACAAAGTCATTGATGGCTAGCTCTGTGTATGCTAGTCATTGCTACATTAGTCCCCCTATGAAATTCTTAATTTTCTTACAATGAATACATATTCTTTTTAGGGGGGTACATGGGGAGGGGGTAGTAGGGATTCACTTCACCATCCATTTATCTTCTCTTCTTCCTCTTCTTCCTCCTCCTCCACCTTCTCATCCTTTTTTTTCCTGGGCTGGCCTCAAATGTAGCTCTCCAGTCTCCACCTCCTAAGTGGCTAAGATTATATGCTTGAGCCACTGAGTGTAGCAACATTTATTATTTTTGTAATAAAAGGACAGTCAATGTTTAAAAGCTAATGAAATACAACCTGCAGTCATCTGCCTGAATACCACACGCTTTAAGGTGCTTAAGTGCTCCAACATGCTCATCTTTTTGTCACAGCCCTTTAACTCATATTCATCCTTCAGACTTCAGGTTAAGCAGTGTTGCTTAAAAATATCTTCCCTAAATGTTCTGGGTTAATTCCCCTTGTTTTGCCTTTTCTTCTCAGCTATTATTGTTTGTGTAATTAAATACTTGAGTGTTTGTCTTTTCTGTTGTGTTGGGGGCTTCAGAACATCAGGTGCTTTTGATATTCAGCTCCATCACTAAGTGCAAAAGAAAAACCATACTAGGAGCCTAGTAGGTATTCAGTAAGCACTTACTAAAATTCATATGAATAAAGCCATTTGTTTACCAAAATACATGATTGAGTGTAATCCGTACATATTAGGATAGAGTCAAAAATCACTTCAGACTTTCAACTAATTATACTCTTCAGTATTGAATTGTTTCTCTGAATTTAAACAACTCAGTGTAATTCACTGCATTTCCAGGTATACTTTTTTTAGTGGCAGAAGTCAGAGCTTTAGGAAACCCTGCCTGAAATTGTGGTAGGGTATAAGTGCTGGGAAGACTCAGTAGGTAAGGTTAGGAAGGTAATGCTTATCTGTACTTAGGATTCTTTCCACTCTTCAAGCACATACCAATTTGGGTGGGATGTGCTTAGAGCTAGAAGAATGACTACTCAGGGTCTGCACCAATGTGCTATCCAGATAAACTCTTGATCTGTCACTGGAATAGTCAGAAGACACCTGGTATTTATATTTATTTATTATTTATTTGTTTGTTTGTTGGTTGGTTGGTCATGGGGCTTGAATTCTGGGCCTTAAGCGAGCACTCTATCACTGAGCCACAGCTCCACTTCCGGTTTTCTGATGGTTTATTGGAGATAAGAGTCTCATGGACTTTTCTGCCCAGGCTTGCTTTGAACTGTGATCATCAGATCTCAGCCTCCTCAGTAGCTAGGATTACAGGCATGAGCCACCAGTGCCCAGTGATACCTGATATTTATTACCATGGAGATCCAGGATATTTCCATGGCATTTCTGTTTTCGGACCAAGAGAGGGAAAATAAAGTGTTGGTAGATGGGAATGTTTCTATAAAAGTATCTTAAACCTACATATCTGAATGTTAAATTTCCCCCCTTCCCCAGGTACTATGTTAATCTATATAGTCCATGGACTTTGTACACAATCTTCTCACTCATATGAAGGGAGTCTCTCCTCTCTCACAGATGGGAGGGCCTACAGTATCCTGGTGATAATTACAGGATTGTGTTTAGGCAGGTCTGAATTTCAATTGCAAGTCAACCAGGGACCTGAGGTGGAGGCTTGTCAAACTTGCTTTACCTCTTTCATCTCAGTGCTACAGGTTGAAAAATCTTGGATGATCCAATTTGAATGCCTAGGACAGCAAAGACCAAATTGAAAGTGTGTCTGTCTGCTTCACCGCAATGCATAGGATGCATATTAGTAAGTAATAGCCACTCATGAGATCAAGCTGAATTTGAAAGTAAGCCAAAGCTAAAAAATTATCTGGGAGATATAAAGAGATGTACCGTCCTTTCTGTATTTTACACATACACACATGCATGCACACACATGCACACGCACCCCACACATACCTCTTCTTGAGTACTCACAGTACTCTTATCAATGCCATCCACAGAGTTAGTAGGCCAGTCAGACATTGAGGCTACGGTAAGTGGAGCCCTGATAGCAAGAGGTCAGGGCTAATAACTTTATAACATGGGAGAAGATTGAAAAAGAATGAAAAGCAAAGACAAGATGGAAGTAATCTAGGGTCTGAGATTTGTCCTAAATTCCTCAGTTCTTGCTTTTCTCATAGGATGATGATAAGAATTTGAAGAAAAGTTAAATTATCTCTGTAGTCCAAAGGGATGAACCCAGTTTACCCCAATTATTGACCTCACTCAGAGAGTAGATAGGTCTACTGACATCCAATTTAACATTCTTTCCATCTATGCTACATATTAGCATTCATCCAGCCTGCATCAATACAATATATCCAAGCAATACATAGTGCAGATACTACCCAGATGCAAATGTTAGCATATAACCATTTCCCCCAAAAGATTAAGATGGGAAAACCCAACTTACAACATTCATGAATGCTTCTGGGTCCACAGATTTAGTTGGCAAATGGCCTGAATTCACATTTCTTTGGAGCAAATAAACCACCAGAATCAGAATCCACATCTCCACTCTCTGTGAAAAAATCCAGGCTCTTGACAAGAAGTCTGACATCTTCCAACATCTGCATTTATTTACTTTTTTTTCAAACGATATCTAAAGTCAGAAGAAGAATTGGTAAATTGAAACAACCAAAAAAACCTCTCTTTTTTCCAGCTGCGTTTTCTTTCTCCAAATCTGAATCAGGTTAAACAAGCTGGCTTAGTTAGAAGAAAGCAGGAACATGCAGTAGGCTACAAGCATAGTTCAGGATGTCCCAATACCCTTTGGCTCCTCCCTCGAGCTCTGTAATCACCAATCCTCTGGCTTGTAGGTATATAGAACTTTCTTAAATGCCTATCAGAGTTTCATGCATGTGACACACCCCATAAAACTTGGTTTCTTGTCATCATCTACTAAGCACTTCTCTCAACCTGTAGAGTTTATCTTTCTTTGGAAAGGGAACAAGACTTGGAGTCTATGGGAAACATCATCAGTTGATGGTTTTAATATTTTCTATTGTTAGTGATAGATGAGAAGACTGGATGGAAACAAATACATATTTAATCCATTTGTGTTCAGCTTAATTAAATAAATGGGCATGGTTTTTAATTTGGTTTACAATTATTAGGTAATTTTGGCAGGATGATACCTAGCAATTAAATCATTCGCAAGAACTAGAAAAATGAGTTGCAGCCTCGTTGTTTTCCCGAATGAAACATCCCATTCTAGTTGAGTGTAAAGCAAAAAGAGTGATGCATTCCTTGGCTTATTGGCAGTTGACAGGCCAGGAAAGATTGGTATGTCAATTTAAGGAGATCATATGTTACAAATTAATAAGGAAAAATACAGGTAAAACCCTCCTTTTCCATCAATGACACATCCACGCTATGGAAACAGCAGCCAGGCCAGTTTGCCGCTTTTGGGAATGTGGTGGGTGAAGGAGAGGAAGCTGAAACTGGAAAGATGAGTCTGAGAGAGGGCCTCAGCCCAGGTGACTCAGCCAGGCCAGATAGGCGTGAACAGGGAGGCCTGCCATCCTTATCTTGATGCATCTCAAAACTCCCTATCACTGCTGGCCTGTTGCATGCTACAGTGGAGAAGTCTGATCTAATTAAAAGGCTGAGGATAACTCTCTTTGCAGGGTCCTGCATATTTAGAGCCCATGGAGTTCACTCTAAAGCCATTCAGAATAGGAAATAAAACAAAACTTTTCTGCCAACAAAATTATATGGAGCAAAGAACAAAGTAAGTCTCACTCTGCTTTCATTTTCAGAAATGTGAAGGTATCTTAAATGGCTCATTCAATGATTTTGCTTAGTGAGTTTGTGGAGAAGACAGAAATAAAATCCAGCTCTTTTAATTCAGTGTTTGGGATGATAACACAGAAGACAAATTCAATGTCCTCTGCCTATAAGTGATTTCTTTAAGAAATCCTCCTCTGGTTTTTAAGTGGATAAGTCTTGATTTTATCATATCTAAAAGATACAAGTTCCACATGCTTGCTCCAATCTGCTCAGATAAGCAAAAGTTTCACACTGGAGAACATATCTATATGTGTATATACATCTACACATTATATATAGATGTATATACACCTGATATTCATAATGTATTATATGTAATATATGTTGTACATATATATTAAATACACATACATACATATACACATATATATGTGTATATGTGTGTATATGTATATATGTATATGTATAGTTCTGGGGCCTCTTATTTGCTAAGCATGTGATTGGTTACTTGAGTCATAGCTCCAGCCACAAATTATTAATAATTTTAAATTCTGTAGAGACTTTTAGTGAGATAGTTTATGGTAGTTGAGGGGGAAAAAAAACCCTGGCTTTTATAATGAGATTACAATTTCCCCTCTAATACTCCATCTTGAGAGCTAAGGGGCTGTAAGTTAGTGCTGCAAGTGTTGAATTGAGTTTTGTTAAGGCAAATCTTTCCATTTTTACCACTACTACTTTAAGGTTTGGGGGGCTATGCCAAAGAACCCATCAGAGAGTGGCAGCCAAAGATCTCATCAGAAACACTGTATAGTAAAAAGACCAAAATGGTTGTGTAGAGTCAAACTCATCCTACAGGGTCTTTATAAATTATCCTGCCAAGAAAGTCAGGTCTGCATATTGTTTATTTATTTACTTATGTTACTTTTACTGGCTTATAGTGGTTATATGTGGGATTTCCATGTTACATCTCCACATATGTTTATAGTGTGTTCCAGTTGAATCACATCCTTTGTGCCCCTCCCATTTCAGAATTAATATTACAACAGGCTCCTTTATTTTGTTTACATAGTTGCAAATGATCTGTTCTGATAGTATTCAACTTCTTTTATCCTTCCTATCAGCCCAACCCCAACTACTTAGTACCTCCCTACCACCTACAGAGTCTATTTCTCTCCTCAACGATTCCCCTTTTGATCAATGTTGCTTAAATCAGCTTCCTAATTGGTCTCCACATGCTTGTTTCTCAGACCTGAATCCCTAGCTTAGCAACACCGATCAATTTATCCTGGTTCTTTATTCCATATTCATTTCATAGTCAAAGAAGCACAGACAACTTTATCTCTGACTTTTGGCATTGGTCTCTGTGTTGATCAAACATCAAAGATCTCGGTTTGCAGTTCTCTCTCCTCCAATTCTAGCTGCAACAAACAATTTAAACACTATTCAGTGTATATAGTAATTAAGAAGGTAAATTGTAGAGGCAGGCACACGTAGCTCTGGGCATTTTCCCACAGTCTCTGAGCCTAGGTGTCCTGATTTGCAAGATACAAACAGTAATGTTACCTCCTCCTTCGGGCTGTTACAGGGTAACAGGAGAGGGGCACAGTTGGTGATGTGGAATGAACACTCATCCCAGCTCAGTAATTTCACTGCAAGGAGGTTATCCACACTTTAGCTGCTGTTTTCTGCCCCACAGTGAAATAGGGACATTGGGTATAAGTAAGGCCATCTTGTCCTCACCACCATCTTGACATCTTAATAGATGATGGGAACTTTTCCCAAGAACTCTAGAAGTGACGAAGGTCATTCTTTGAACTGCAGATGTGTCACAGGTTGCTCCAGAGAATACTTGCTCTTGGCTGTCCTTGATTGTTCCCCCTAGATAACTAGCCCAATGGTTCTCCCTAGCTTACTTTGCCTATGCACATCATATTAGGTTGAGTTCCTCATACCAACCATGGTTTTTGCCTTTATAAGTTTTATTCTAGCTGCAATCTATACTGCAAGTTTTGAAGGGACCTGAGTCTGCTCATAGTTACCAACTTTCTAATCCAGACTCCCGATTTCACCTCTCGAAGTATGGCTTCACCGTATCTCACTGCTCAAATTCCCATATAAAATTTGGAGTCCCTGGCGAGATGCCAGTGCCAAGGGGCATTCAGGTTCCTTGAAACCACTGGAGGATGGGCTCAGCAATTGGGCTTCTGTAGGATGGGAACTTCATAGGAAGGCACCCCTGATACATTCCAGGGCCCTGTGGCCTTTCTGCCACTCCAACAGCCAGACCATGGATGCTTAGTATGCCACTAAATCATTTTGGAGTCACTCAGGAGACTTCTGGAGGTAAGTAAGTTGATGGTTCTGTTTTCTGGAGGTAGATTGATCTGGCTGTTGTGGAAGGGTAGCAGACATGATCAATACCTCCCTAACAGGACCTCAATACTTGAGACATCAACAGAGGGTTTTAGTTTGATTTGGTTCTGCTTTTTTTTTTCTTAGAAAATGGTACCATTCTGTTGTATAAATTCTTGTCTTCTGTGTCCTTGTTCTTTGTAACTCTAGTCATTTTTGATAGTCTTCGGAAGATAGCTGATGTCATTTTGTCTGTCACCTGCCCAACTGCTCTCATATCTGTCTCTAAGAATATGGTTCTTCCTCTAGTAAGCCCACTGTCCCCAATACATGATTAAAAACTTTAAAAGGGCAGGGGGGCTTAAGAAGAAACAAAATGAATCTGTCTGTGTAATAAAATGTGTCCTCAATGTAAGCTGGTATATAAAGTTCTCTAAAGTGGGTGAAGATCAAAATAAGGCCACTGCTTAAAATACATGGTAAAATTTTTACAAATAAAAGAAATGTTATGGAAAACTATACAACTAACTCCTAAAAAATCCAGAGCCCTGTGTGATTCAGAATGCCCACTTTGGTTATTGAAGGGGGGTCATTAGAACTATCTTAAAATTCTAGAAAGTTCATAAAATAATTTGGGGTAATGCCTCCATCTTCCTCCAGGAATCCCCTAATCAGCTTGGCATGCCCTTACTAAAATTGTTTGAAAGATTTTCTGTTCTTGCTAATCAATTTGTTTGAGAATGGAGATTCTCTTAAATTGTTTATTGTTGGTTGTTGGCAAAAGTTAGTCTTTGCTTTCTAGTCCTGTAGTGGTATGGGCAAAAATGTCTCTTGCCACTGGAATTCCAGAAAATTTGCAGTGAGTTTTCAATTTTGAAACCTAAGCATGCTTTAAGACATTTGTGCACAAATGTGTGTGTATGTGTGTGTATGTTCAGAATAATCTGGTATTTTAATACATTAAAAAAATCTGTAATCAGCTGAGCGTTGGTGGCTTATGCCTATAATCTTAGCTACTCAAGAGGCTGAGATCTGAGAATCGCAGTTCAAAGCCATCCCAGGCAGGAAAAGTCCATGAGACTCTTATCGCCATTTAACCACAAGAAAACTGGAAGTGGTGATATGGCTCAAGTGGTAGAGCACTTGCCTTGAGCTGAAGAGCTGAGGGACAGTGCCCAGGCCCAGAGTTCAATCCCCACGACTGACAAACAACAACAACAAAAAACCCTGTCATCATGGTGTAAGAAAAAGCAGTCTTTTCTATCCTACTAAAGTGCTTAGGTTTTGTATGGTGGTATTTTTTGTTATTAATATTTCCTGAAATTATTTGCTTTTTTACTTTAGTTTTAACTAGAATCTCTGCTGCTTGTGACCAGAAGCCAAGATAGGGAATAAATCTTTAATAATCCCCTTTCTAATCTTGACAATTCATTATATATAAACTTTGAGCCTAACTTCTTGTCAGGGAGGAAGGGC